GCCTCCGCAGGTCTATTACACAATAAACACTTATAATAAGAGCCTTTAGTAGACATATTGTATTGTTCATATATCTATACTAAACTATTGTAAAGAAATATGTATTTGTGTATGCATTGAAATAACTCAAAAACTACTGGGCCGATAAAAAATCTACTGCTGTTAGAAAGCTACGTTATCGCTTAACATAGGCTTATTTTAAAGTTTCACGTGTACGAAGTCGCGGGCAACAGCTAGTCGAAAATATTGTACATAATATCTATCATACTTATATCGTACTGTCTTAAAAACATGAATGCGAATGTTTAGGAAAATGTGGATGGCTGTTTGTTAGAAATTTCCAGTACGGTGCAACCGATCTCAAAAAAATTTGGCATAGAAATATGCCAGAACGCAATAGCTAATTACTAAGTTTTTTAACGAATTCGTGTCCAAATATTCATGTTTCATAACTTGTTAGACTAAATATATAATCTTTTGTATATTTTTTTAAAATTCCAGCATACTGGTGGTCGGGCGCCGCAGTGACGTACTCTCTGGGCTCAATAGTCCTCATCATTCCAGCTGTGATGCTATTCAGACTGAAATCATGAACAATATTAACTATATTAAAACTTTACACAAGCAATATTTAAATATAAAGACAATTTACTTATTCTTTTACAATTTTTCTACTATTTACTTTTTTCGTATTACGATTGTATAAAAAATCCGACTCGATTAACAATCAGTATTAAATTATTTATTTAATAAGCGTTGTTTTATTTTACCGTCTCTTATAAAAGTAAGATTCTTTAATCTATACTAATATTATGAAGAGGAAAGATTTGAATTTTTGTATGTATTGAAATAACTCAAAAACTACTGGGCAGATCATAAAAATTCTCTCACCGTTAGAAAGGTAAAAAAAATTATCTGTGAGTAACATAGATTACATTTCACACGGACGAAGTCGCGAGCAACAGCAAGTCTTATATATTTATATTCACTTGTGGTTTATGTTAAATATTGTAGAGAGCAAATATTTCCATAAAATCAATTATGCATTCAAAATTAACATTCAAATTACTATAAAATGTTAATTGGATATTAACAAAACTGGTATTTTATCTAAAATGTTCAGGCACTTGCTAGTTTTACGTCAACTATTTAAATTAATTGTTTTGACGAGAAAGACCTTATTTTTCTATTTCATAACAGAAAAATAGTTGTTTCTCGGCTCTTCTAGAAATTAATATGTAAAGGTAGGGCGAATTTTATTTGCAAAGCACAAATTAATTTAAGTCAGAATAAAAGATACGAAAAAAAATCTGGCCGTTTTCATAGACACAATCTGTTTATTTTTTGTTTTCATTATGGTTTCCATGGTAACAGTTGTTTTGGTGTCACATTGAAAGCATCGGTTTCGTAATAAAATGCCATTATTTAGTAACAAATTCACACCAAAAACTATACCTGTTCGTCGAAATGATACTTCGGTGATAAGAAACGAGTTCGGCAGCGATTACGCATCTAAGGAATTATCGATAGACTTAAGTCCCCTTAAGATAAAATTAGGTGATTTTGAAGTCTCGTTTGAAGAAGGCCAATGGATACCAGGTAGATTAGAAATGTTTGAACAATTCGTATTTATAAAATTTCACCAAATACAAAAATAGCGACCTTTTAATACATTCCAGTTTTCTTTAGATATTTCGCCCATGACTCTGTCCACGTGAAATTAAGATAAAGCATAAAGCGAAGGTGTTTCTAAACTATCCTCTACTAAACTAAATTTCATTGAGATCCGTACAGCAAGCTACATATTCTGACAAACATTCATTCAAACTTTCGCATTTATATAAGTTACACAACTAACTGAATATTCCAGCGTCCGGTCGAGCGGGCGCAGCTCACAAGGAGAATCTTCGTCTCAAAAAGGAATTAGAGCAATTAGAGGAAGAAAACAACATGTTGCGTCTCAAGTTCGAGATCCTGTTGGACATGATGACGGACAAGACTGTGGAGGCGGAGCAGCAGCAGCAAGCTGACATGCAGCGCGCGCAGAGCCTGAGCTCATTGAAGAAGAATAAAAAGCAAAAGTGGTGAACGAGAGTAGTAAAATTCGTTTCCACTGCATCGACATTTACGTCTACATAGTTTAATATTTTTTTTTATATCATAAGGTGGCAAACGAGCAAGGGGCCACCTGAATCCGTCAAAATGGCGAAGCGACCGCTACCCAGATATTCGCAATAGCGGATGCGTTGCCTACCCCTGATATACGGAGGAGACGCACATAAAGAGGATATTTGCCCTTCCTATGCGTTTCCCGTAAAATCCACGTTCCCTTCCCATCGATATCGTATAATAAAAAGGGTGGGAAGGAAAAAGGACTAAAGTTGGGCCTTCGGCTCCACATTCACCAGACGAAACGCGGAATTTCTCACACCTCACGCCTGTCATCAGTGTGATCGTGGTATTACACCGGGCAAGCCGACCCATTCATAACTGGTATGTCAAAGAGAATATAATGCCTGGTTCATACTTGGCCATTACAATAGGACACTAGCGTAGGCCAGGTATTGACTGTAATGTCACTGGCGCAAGTTATGTCCACATTGTGATATTTGAATTCCAGTCCAGTTATTGAGGCTAGATTCGTCGAAGTGTGAACCAGGCGTAAGCGACAATATCTCAATACATGTGTAATTGCCGGTCAGTGTTTATAATAGGTTTCAGTGTAAATATTAAAGTACCCACTGTTCTACATACATTAAAATATGTTGTTAAATAAAAGTAAGAATAAAACTTTAAATTCCGAGCAGTCTTCAAGGTTTTTTAAAAGAAAATAAAAACACAAATATTTTATTTTATTTTCAATAATATAACAATAATAGACCTACATAAGATAATCTTAGAGTAATGGCGTCGGATGCTTACAAACAAATATTACACTTATGACACATTTATACAAAAACCAGTAACCAGCGGTTTAAAAGACTAAGGGCCTGTCCCACCACTGGCTAATAGAGGCTCAGATAGCTTAAAAGTGACATTGCTTTTATCAAATGGAACACGTTGCGGGTTAAATACTATTGATTGTTGGGGCAACGGGACCTCGTGTGGCCGCTCTGCCTGCAGAGGCCGCACTTCCTGCCCCCGCCTCCGCCCCCAGCACTTCCCCCTCCCCTTCCACTAGCGTTGCCCCCGCCCCTTCCACTAGCGTTACCTCCGCCCCTTCCGCTAGTATTGCCCCCGCCCCGTCCACGGCCTCTACCTCTGCTACTGCTACCACTATTATTATTCCACTCCACTGAAAGACCGACAAATAATTAAAAATATCACATCATATATTATTTCGAGCACAAGATTAACAAATGAAGATTATGATTTAAAAAAAATACCAGTAGTATCGGAATCCGCCCATTGGAAGAAATTACACCGCGAGCTGAATTCTTTTGGGCATCCGTAAAATGGCCGCCCCTTGTTAGGACCTTCTTTTTGTACTGTTACACTGGAATAATTGAAGAATACTTTGTTACATTTAATTGTACATTTTTTTATAACCAGAATAAGTGATTACTTTCGGCCAGTTAGTGTTAGGATTAATTGTGACCTGGTGGGCATAAATCAAAAAATGTTGACACCTAACCACACTATCGAGGTCAAAGTACCATAAGATTAATTTCCTACTAAATATGTCATGTTATATTTCTTTTTTATCACTTTTTCTAAGGTTTTTATGTATTAAATAAAATCGTGAGTGAGTCACAGACGTCTATAAATAGACAGGCTATAGGACGTGGTATTTTCTTAATTTTCGCCATTATGGCACTGACGAGGATTAAAATTAATGATGGGAATTAAATTAACTATCACTAGTGGACACGAGTTTTAAAAAGCGGAAAATTTGATTTGCAAGGAAAAAAAATTCTTTAAAACTTACCGTCTGGCAGGGACACCACAGTTGCACATCACATTGTCGTCAATCGGCTGGTAGTCAGTCCTGCTGTAAGTGGGCGCTACGCCCCAGCCACGCGCGCTGGAGCCCCCGCTGCTCGCGGAGCCCCGCCCCGAGTCCGCCGGAGTCTCCGAGCTGCTCTGTACTGTATTCTCTGACTCCGGAGCCCATAGAAAGAAGTCACACCCACCACTTTCCCTCATTGCTGCACATTTGTAAAATTTTTTACCTGTAAAACAGTGAGAAGATTTTAAAAAACAAATTATTTTAGAATGAATTTAATGGTGATTTTTTTTTCATGTAGCACAAATTATTAAAAACTGCATTATTGTTTACCTTAGACATGTAAAAATGTCGTAATGGGCGGTTCACACCTGGCCAGTACTGGTTAGTAGCTATCAATAACTGGACTGGCAAATAACTGGCATAGTGTGACAATAATTAACGCCAGTGAGTCCACACAATTTATTCTTTGCTAGCGCAGCTGTCTAACTGTACTGGTCAAGTGTGAACCGGGCATTATATTGAATAATACGTAGGAGCATTAAATTTCGTATATTTACCGAAATTAGCATTCTGTTTTCTTACAGTGAGCTGTATTGCTGGCTTGTTGCAACCACACAGGACATTGTTATCCTCATCGCCAACTGCCCGCGGCGTCGGCAATCTCGTCTGCGCTGTATTTTGCACCCTATTGTTATTACCTGTAGGTGCAATTTGCTCTGCGTGTCTATTTCTAGTTGGCATGCTTCCAATAGTAGTTTGTCTTTGAGGTCTGACGTCATTCGTATTCGCTGTATTTATGCGATTTTCGACTATCGGTCTACTATTATTAGGGATATTTTGGTTTGAGTTTACAGTTTTAACAGAGGAAGGGTTTATTTGCAGTATATCTAGGAAGGCGGGGTCGCAGCCGCCGATACAGCCGTCGTAAGGCGGCGGATACAAATGACTTATAGAATTGTTTCGCCATTCGAATTTCACTATATTATAGTTTGGACCACACTGAAATATAATTAATTATTAGAATAGTTGTACAAAGTACAATATCCACAAATATTAAGTATTTGATAACATTGTTTTTGGTTTTTACCTATTTCATAAGTAACGATTTTGTCCTCGCAGAATTAAAAAAAACTTTGTGTGTTCTTCCGTCTTTTATGAGATCTAATAATAATCTAATAAATTTTGGATATAGATAGTAACATCCATCCAAAATTTAGCATTTATAAAATGACTTGCTTACGCACGCGACTCTGTCCGCGTCGAATAAAAAAAACCAAAAGTAAGTAGCTTATGTGTTCTTCCAGACTATCCTCATTTATTCCAAATTTTAGCGTAATCCGTTCAGCAGTTTTGGCTACAAACTCTAACAAACATCCATCCATCTAAACTTTCGCATCTATAATATTAGTAAGAAGTAAATCTTACCGTAGGACAAGTTCTATCTTGTACTTCTAGAGATTTGACGACTTTCGGCAGCCAAACTGCGTTCTTACAACTCGGATACGATTCACAACTTAAAAATAGTTCCTCCGCATTATTCTTTTTCTGTTTTAATACCATTCCTGATCCGCATTTTGGGCATTTAAATACTGAAAAGAATCAACAAAATGGTAATTAATAAAAAAGTTTTTTATGATTGTTAAAAGTGTTAATTCTAAGTACATATTTTTTTAAAATGTTACTTACCAGTAGGCATGTTGACTGGTAATGTTTCAGTAGTGGGAACGTATTCATTAGGTCGTTCGTTGAACCTCTCCGCTAACGCATTGTCTATTTTATCTGCTTCTGCTGTCACCATTATGTATGCCTCTTTGTATCTCGCTATCTAGAAATTATTATATTGCATATAAAGTTTTAATTATACCAATATTTGTTTGATTAAAGGAGTAAAAGTTAAGCGTGGGCATGTTATGAGGGATGAATCGCATGTAACAAGAAGGACGTTAGTTATGAGTGTGGTACACCGGTAGAGGTAGACGTAGAAAGAGATGGATGTTTTGCGTGAAAGGTGACATGATCAAGAAGGGAGTGATGACTGATATGACGGATGATAGAGTTATTTGGAGAACGAAAACCCGGTGCGCCAACCCTGCGAGAGTAGTAAGTGCAGATTTATTCAAAATCTATGTGTTCTTTCGATCATTTTACTAATTAGGAAAAACAATAAAATAAAATATGTCTTAACGATAATACACTTTTTGCTTTTTCCACTGTACCGTGCATCGCGCTAGTGAAAACGATAATTAAATTATTCATCTATACTAACATTATATAAAGGAAAAATTTGTATTTTTGTATGTATTGAAATATTTCAAAATCTACTGGGACGATTTCAAATATTCACTATTAAATATGTTATCAGTGAGTAATATAGGGTACATTTTTAAACTTCACTTGGGCAAGGTTACAAGTAACAGCTATAATTAAAATAAAATCGATTATAGGTGCCCAATGCGATTAATAACCCCAGTATAAAATTTAAAACTTCAGGTATTTGAGTGTTAAGAAGCTTAAAAGTCAGAAAAGCTACACAGCTCAGATTACCTGTTCAGCTAAGACGAGATCCGGTTGCTTGGTGCCTTCGCTGATAGCTTTGAGGTCAGCCTCGAGCTGCGCGCGCAGCGCGGGGCGCGCCATGTGCAGCCCCATGGCGTCGTAGCCCTCCACCAGCCCCATGCCCAGCACGCCCGGCACGAAGTGCACCGCGTCCGCCAGCGCCACGTACGAACGACTCTTTATCGTCTCTATGTGCTCCGCGTGCGTCGCGTCCGTGCCTACATGCTCAATGTTTTACAGGGAATTTAATTTGCTACCCCATATGTAATATTGATATGTTTGTACACTTTTAGGATTGTGATTTAATATTAATTATACTAAAGCGAAAGTTTGGATGAATATATGTTTGTTATTACGTATTAAAGTTGATATTCTAAAAAAACATGTAATATACTTTTTGTCAAATTTAGCGCGGACGAAGTCGCGACCACTACATATTTTAATATATGATAGACATGGTAAATATCTTTAAGTAAAATGTTTAGCTATTATAGAAATTCACAAGCGATAGTTGGTTTGTAAAAGCTGAAGTAATTAAAAAATTTTTCGCACCAATTCCGTGTTTCTCCATGAGAGCGATAAGATCGGCCTCCGTCAACAAGTTGGGCGGCGACGTGTTGCCTTCCACTAAGTCGATACTCGTCGGATTGAATGTTTGTCCATTCTGCAAAACACACCAAGTTATATATGAATAGATTTTACGGAATAACAAAAAAGGTCAACTATTACTGCATTTAACAATAAACATTGAAAATTGGTCACTAAGGGAGAACTTAGGACAGTAGTATATTAAACCAACACTAGGAGAAACCACTTCAAGACTTTGAATGTGACAGTTTTTTGTGTTTATATTTACCTCATAAACGTGAATTTCTTTAGAAGACCATTTATCATAAGGATAGACTTCCAGATAATTCCTCGCGATGATCATAAGTCCGCTGGCGCTGAAGGTCTCATCAGCGAGGTGTATGGTGACGGTGGTCTCCTGGCCCTGCGCGTCCTTGGCGCAGCACGCCAGGAACGACCGCACTATGAACTCGTATAACCGCTGCTCGTTGCCCGACAGATCTTTAAATATATCGCACTTTTATTCATTAAAAGAATTAACTCAAAATTTATGTTTTTTGAGTTTTTATCATAAACGACATTATTTTCGCGAGAAGAGTACGACTAATTCATCTCGCGTCGCAATAGAATAAAAATAAAAGAGATAGGACGACATCTTTCTCTCTCATCTCAAATCTCCTGTGTAAAAATAAAAAAATAACTTCAATCGCAATTTCTCAAAAGACCTAAACTTTGAGTTAATTACATTTTTTAACAAAGGTAGTAAAAGTGAATATGCTAGTTGTCAAGAAACTAAAGAATCAGTGGAAAAGTTAGTTATCACGTATACATGGAGATAGTAGAGGTAATTTGAATTATAATTTAAAGCATTGAAAATCATACTAATTTTACTTATAAGAGAATGGCTCAACGATCTCGATAAAACATAGGCAAAGGTTATCTTAAAACCTATTTTATATTTGGGCAAAAGTTGAAAGAAAAGATAATTTTCCAAGATTTGTTACAAAGGTGTTAGAAAATGTTAATTCGTAATTTAATATTTCTATTCTGTTGGAATTTAGACTGTAATTTAAAGTAATAAAATTTTGATCACATTTACATTGCTTTATTCTACTTTTTAGTATTGATAAAATAACTTACTGTTAGTATACTTTGTTGGATGTATGGGAGGGTGAGCTTTGTCACTCTTGCTCCCCTGCCGCGGTGTGGGCCCCCCCTCCTCCAGTATCCGTTGAGCGAACCCCCCCCAGTTGGGGTCCCCCGTGTGATGTTCCACAAGTTGTCGCAAGTTCATCTCCTTTGGAAACTCATTAGTTTCCGTACGGGGGTAGCTGATGAAACCTTGAGTGTACAATTTTTCAGCTAAACGCATTGTTTCTTTAGCATTTATTTTAAGTTTACGAGATGCTAATTTTTCCAATTCCTGAGAAAAAGGTACTTTAATTGAAATAAAGGTACTTTAGTATATACTGTTAGCTTTTTAACTATTTTTGATGTATTCTGTATTCTTAAAAGTAATTTGTTAATCTGTGCTATTTATCAATACATTTATCTTTATTGAAAACAACAATATAGTTAGGAAAATATTAGAAAACGGAAGGAATAGTATATATAATAGAAAGTAGTTTTATAAAATATATGGCAAGGAGTGGCTCGGACTCCGTTGTAGTCTCGGAGCTCAGTCGCCAACAAGCTCAGTGTTTTACTAGTCGTCACAACAAAATGTTCGATATATTTGCGTTGTCGCATTGGAGTTCAGTTTGTGTGTTATAAAGTAATTGACAAGTATTGTTAATATGGCCATCCGTCTATATTTTAAAGGAAGTCATTTGTGGTAATATTCGTATTTTTGGATCTTTATATGTATTGAAATAACTTAAAAACTACTAGGCCGACTTCAAAAATTCACCATGAACAAGCTATGTTTTTACTGAGTAACATAGAATATTTTTTAATTTCACTCGGAGTAGCAAGCAACAGTTAGTCTTTAATAAAAACAATAAACATGTTATAATAGATTGAAACATACCACTGTGTCTAATGGCAAAGGTCTCCATTTAGACTTAGGCTTTGTTCTTACATTCACAACTTTAGCGAGTGGGTTCTCTTTGCACACATCATGCAGGATTTCACAACTTTCTTGATCAAACAGTCTGATTCTGTCCCATGCGAAATCTACACTTAGATTGTTCATGGTGTGGTTTACTGGAAACAAAAAATAAGACCATTTTTAAATTTGTACACAGATAAACATTAAATTAATTATAATAAAATAATCATAAAACAGACTAGAACTTGCCTGTGACTTTGTAGAATTAAAAAAAAATGTTAGTCTATGCCAAACTTCATTGTTAAACTAGTAAGATCTTTTGGGAAGCTAGTTTTGTATAGATGGTGATATCCAATCATCCATCCAAACTTTTGCATTTATAATATTAGTAAGAAATATGATTATGTTAGAACCCTTTATGACAATTGAAAAGAAGATAAATTGATCTTTTACCTTTTATTTTCCAAAATGTTTCAGATACAAAGTTGTTTACATCCCTGTATCTTTCCACAACAAATCCTAATGTCGGAAATTGACAAGATCCATAACTTATTAAACTGTCTGCCAGTTTTGATGGGAAAACTTTCTGTAGCCGCAGAGTCTGAAATCTTGTAAAAGCAGCTCCTGTAAGTAAAAGATAAAATTATTTCAATATTATCGAGTATAAAACTACTTAATTATTTAAGAAAGCTCAAATCTATAAGACTAAATTTAGTATAAAATTAGTATTTATCTGTGGTTCAATGAATGATGCATTTACATAATTTACCTATCCTTAAATCAAGTTCTTGCCTCACATCAACAGCGTTACTGATATTCCTGTTTGGTTGCTCTAAGTTCTGTAATGCACGGTTTACCGACACAGATGTTATCTCAGAGAACTTTGCTCGGTATATTCTCAGATTGCTCTTAACTGAGCTACACACCTCTACAATCTCAAAGCCTATGTTTTCTCCTTCTCTGTCACAATCCGTCCAGATAATCAGGCCTTGACAACTTCTTACTTCCTTTTCTAATGTTTTCTGTAATAAAAATTTAATTTTCCATATTTAAAAAATAAAATATTCTTTAGTCATCATTTGTTTTAAATAACCCTTACCTTAATTTTTTCGTAGTTTTCCGGACAATACTTTATTACTGGCGCATCGAAAAGTGTCAAAGGGTTACATGACTGCCAACTTTTATATGAACTTGCAAATTCTAGTGCAAGAAGATGGCCAGATACTGAAGTCATTACCATTTGGCATTTTTGTCCCATCACTTGTGCTTCAAACTCATAAATTTTATTGTACTGGGATAGTCCTTCTCTCTGAAATATTAATAAAAAGTTAAGATAGGCCAGGCCGGTCACCTCTACGTGTAACAAATACAGTAAATGTTGAGTACCCTTTTTGATGTTCCTCTTGATAAATGAAGCGCAATATTCTTAGCAGCGTCATTTTTTTCCGCGACATTAAGGTATTTCATCGTTTGTGATTTACTTCTTTGAACCAAAATTGAACCATAACTCGAAGTTAGTACGAAATTATTTTTTCTTATAAGAGTGAAGAAAAATCTATGCATAAAATACATATTCCTACTGTTATAACATCTTAATTACATTTGCATGCTATTAAAAATTAATATTAAAGTGATATTGCATTTAAATTACTTAGAAAGTACAAAATAATGCCGCCAAAAACAAATTTAAGAACTCAAAACAAACCAGGCATTTGACATAATTGACATTTGTTATCAAAGTAACAGACATTAGTATTAATGACTAAAAAGAGAAAGGAAGACTAAGTTTTCCACTTTTTTATATCTTGTATCAGCGCGGCACTCAAAATGCATTTATATGTTGTTTAAAACACTATAATAAAACTATGCAAAATCTGATAACTAAAATAGAAACGGTTTCACTTGGGATCCACAATCTTCATTGATAATGCAACACTTTCATTTACGTCAAGTTTGTTATGTTTTTATTTTGACATTTCTTTGACATGTGTGGTTATTTGTGTTTATTACAAAAGCAATTGAGTTGATTATAATATTATACATATGTACAAATGTTAGGATGATAACTACGCATTTAATGTCATCTAATGAATTGAACATAGTTAAAATGTGTTTCTTAGTTAATTGCCTTAAACGATTCAAAAGTTCACAACAATGGTTAAGTCGTCAAAAAGCAGATCCCTACGTGGAAAAGGCCAAAATATATAATTACAGGTGAATATTGGGAAGAAATGAACAATTTAAAATAAAAATTATTCATTCCTTGTGTCGTGTTCATTATCTATGTACTACATAAAAAATAATTTTAGGTGTCGAAGTGCATTTAAGCTTTTGGAAATGAATGAAAAAACCAATATCCTCACACCAGGATTAACTGTTATCGATCTAGGTGCTTCTCCTGGGTCATGGACTCAAGTTGCAGTTCAGAAAACAAACTCTGATGGAGCTGATAAAAGTAAACCAAAGGGAACTGTACTGTCGATCGACAAACTTCAAATATTTCCTATACAGGTGTGTACAATATTTATTATTATTTTAAATCGGATATATAGTTGTAGACTTAAATATTTTGTTCACCCAAATTTTTTATATCTGCTTTTTAAAATAATATGAACAAAAGAAAACAAAAGCCAAAGCTAATAAACCAATTTCTAAAGTCAAGGTTGTGTATATCATTAGTTATCTATTGTTCATTGTATAATGCACAAGTTATATTTCCAGGGTGCTACAATTATGAGTAATATGGATTTCTCAACAATAGCAGCTCATGATAAAGTGGTGGAAACACTTAACGGCAAGAAGGTTGACTTAGTGTTATCTGATATGGCCCCAAGTGCGACTGGCATTAGAGAATTAGACAAGGATAGAATTTTAGGACTCTGTTATATGGCAATTCGATTTGCAGCTCTAGTCACTAAAGTTGACGGAAATTTATTATTCAAAGTCTGGGATGGGAAGGAGGTACCAATATTAGAAATGGATTTAGAAAGGTTTTATAAAAGTACAAAGATATTGAAGCCAAAAGCGAGTAGATCTGACTCATCTGAGAAGTTTATTCTTGCAAGAGGATTTAAGGGTATTCAGAGGCCATTGCAAAATGGACGCTGGGGATAAAACTCATGTTAAAATTAGAAAATGTTAAGTTCTATACAAGATTAGATAAAGAAAAAAGGTATTATCAATGTAAATATTTTGTATGAATTTTAAATAATGTAGGATAGTAAAATAAGTAGCACTTTGATGCTATGTAAGATCATATATTTGCAATTTTTTTTCTTCTTGTTCTGTATTTGTTCTAAGTATACAAAGATTAAACTATTGCAATGATTGTAATAGATAAAAAGATTGTCTATGTTTTAAATAATGGTACTTCTGGTTTAGTAATTAACTTACATTGACACTATTTGTGTTTAATTTGTTAAGTCATAATAAAATGTTACTAGTCTTGTAGTAATAATGTCTTCCATTGTTATTGCCCATTATTTTAATAAATAATAATTTAAATGCAGATTTATCTTTTTCTACCATTTTTGTAACAAATGCCATTTGAATTAGGAAGTACTTCATAAATAAAAGACAATTTTTTAATATTTTGCATATATTTATTTCTCTCTATCATTTTATATGAAGCATATAATCTTCTCAGTTACTACATATATACACTAAACAAACAAAATATTGTTGCTTTATGCATATAACATATATTTAACATACATATCTAAGTGTATTTAAAATTACAAGATAAGCTTTAATTTATTAACCAAATGAAATATTCCTGATTTTAATTAAAAAAATATCACAAGTAATTGTTGTAAAATGCCAACAAATCTAAGCATTAATGTTGTAAAATTTGGACGTAAATAGTTTATAAATAATCTTTTTAAAATTAGTAAAAATGTATCTCCTGTATACATGGCAAGATGGAAATAAAGCTTTTAGCTTAGTTGCAGTAAAAAGTAAACTAATCTATGATGCAAATATCGTCAAATTCAATGGAAATGAAAAATTTTGTTTACACATTTCTTTCGTAAAGTTTTAATATTTAAATTATACAAATATGTCTGTTGTTAAAGAGTCTGTGATAACAATCTTATCAAAGTATAACTGTTTACAAAGGCTTATCATTTCTCATGTTTATTGAATTTGACTACAAATACTGTTTTTCGAATGTCGCTTATGCCTGACACAACCACTTGTTTTGTCTTTGATGTTCCATGAATTAATATCTAGTATTGCTTGCTTTTAATCTTTTTTTCTTATTTTAATTGACCAACTCAGTGAATAGCAACATAGATGCAAGATGTAAAGAACCGTCAAAATTACTTTGTCAGCATTGAAGGCGGCCCAACTCTAGAAAGATGATTAAAAAAACTTCAAAAGTGTAGCACCATCGTTAATAGGCGCATTGGCCAAACATGATTGAGATAGATAAATTAAAGACAACTGTTAAAATAGCCATAGAAAAACGTATGTGCGTGTCTTAAGGCCTTACAAGTACCTCTCTGTCTACTATCGTTAACTAAACTGGTTATTTTACATATTTCTTTATGACTTATTCTTAATAGTCTTTGCGCATTTACTGTGCTAAAATTAATTACATTTATACTGAAAATTATGTACTCTACAAATTATAACTAAGACTAAAACATTAAAATAGCTGTGTCGCATTTATATAGCACATCTAGCATATAAATAACATAATTGTAATATTTTCAATATGTATATGCATTTTATATAATTACTGTACCAACTTAAGAAATTGAAGGCAATCCAAATACTATATAAGAAAATATATTACTATGACTAGTGCAGATGTGCTTATAGCTTTAAAATATTTAATAAGTTTTAACACGTTTATCCCTTGTTTGCAGTAAGCTAGCGATTTAGTCGAATATCGAGCAATTTACTGGCTAAAATATTCCCTCTATACGATTTGCTAATCTACAGGAGTACGTTTTTGATGTGTAGACCAGTTTTATTCACTAAATTACTTGCTACTCGACTAAATTTCTAGCCTAGTGCGATATAGGCAATAGTGCCACTACGATATCTCCGTAGATGATTCGCCAGGCGAGTCAGCTGTAAACGTGTTTGTGTGTCGAGTTACATATTTTAAGAGATCTAAAGCTTCGTTGGATGGCTCTATATATCAATAATGTTTTATACGAAATGCGTGCGTGTGCCGTGTGAGAGTTTGTTAAGTTGTGCGGCGGAGAGGAGGCTGGAGTGCGCGGCGTGGTCGAGGAGTAACAGCCGTTCGCCGCGCTCGTCGGCCAAATGCCGTGCGCACTGCATCGCTGACACCTCCATGGAGAAGCTGGTCACAGCACAGATCGCGTACACGAATGACGCCACGAACAACGCACAAGTGAAGTCTGAAATTAATTATTATTGTTCAATATACTATACTGAGTTCGTTTGAAACGAAACGAAAAAAATACTATATAATAATGACGATGGTAAAGTTAGGTATGTTCAGTGTACCTCGTTACCATCCGGTAGAGAATAAAAGTAAAGTAAAAGTGTCGTTTTAAATATGCTTAAAACTAATTACTTACGGTACATGTTGTGTCCATTGAACAGGTTGATAATGCACGGATATCCGTCTCCGATAATGACGGCTGATATCAACAGTAAGAGATCAATGATCGCTGCTACAATCCAGGGAAATATGTATTCCTTCTTGTACTTGACGGCTCCGTGGAGCAGCGAGATAGAACACATCAAGTATATCGATGTCAATATAGTACTGGTATAGAGGACAATCACTGTTACTGAAATAAAATGTTTGCAGTTTTAGAAGTTTTACTGTTTCCAAAAATCATTTGTATTTTATTTCATTGTTCTTCAATGATAATTTATTCGCTGCTACAAGAAAAAAAGACTAAGTCTTCCACAACTACTTTTGTTTACTTTTAGTGTTAAGCTTGTTACGACTTAATAAATTTACGTGTTTTATAATATTTTGTAAACTTACCGGAAGCTAGATATTGAGCATTAGCAAATCTCCGTTGATTATTAGTGCTAATAACATCCCCTTCGTGAAATCTTAATTGATTACCGTAAGCTACTTCGTAAAACCCTCGCCTCTCAGCGTCGTCTTCCATGTCATTATGAAGCAAAGTAAGCATTTCACCAACATGAGATATACCAACTAATAGTATTATCAGAATAAAAGATGATAGCGCCTGAAAATATAAAAAAGCTTAATATCTTCACGAAAAAATACGCATTGCGTTTTTCGTAAGTATACTTACAATTTGATGGACGGCAATAAGAATTGTGCCTTGACGTAAATTGAAAAAGAACAAAAAATTGTTCACACGTCTTATCATTTTTACTAATAATTTACATTCCTTTGGGTTATCAAACATTATTGTTAGACGGAGTAGTTTAGAGCATAGTTGGTGAATGATATAAACATCCAGGCGCTTCAAAGCGAAAGTAAGGTCGAAGTATTCTGCGCATGTTTTATATGATTGATTTTTCTACTTTTCTAGTGCGCATGTTTTTAATATTTGATATTATTTTGAAAGTGTATACGCACCACCCAGATGGTTGTCAACAGATATTATTGGCAAACATCTGCTTAGGATTACAAAAGAAAATACGTAGGTATGTACGAGTGAAAGGTTGTACATTAGGGAGTTTTATTGAACATTTAAAACCTTCTATTACATAGTCTAGTTGCTTACTGATCATTCAATGATAAAATCTCTTAAATTAAATTTAAAGGTAACAATATTGTCATGTCTGTTTCACCTGATATTGATCACCTCTATCTTAATGACCAGCGAACGCTTCGGTTACATTGCTATTTAGCAATTTCAGGCGCCTACTGGCTCAATGCCTTGGAAATCGAAAGTCACTTAATGCGGAGATTGGGAAAGCGCTTAATAAGGAATAATTTCAAAGACATTTAATTATTATAAATTAGTTTTAATTCACAACTTACAATAGTAGTGATAACATTATGACTTTATGTGCCAAACTTTTAGTTGGCGTTAGTATATTTGGATTATATTATATTGAACTAAAATCTATCACAAATAAAAAAAATAATATGTACATGAATTTTGCTTAATGCGTTAATTGATTTCGAAAATCATACCATTGAAGAGACTTTTTAACGTAATGAATACATTGGACAGTTAAGTGAGAAATAAAAAGCGATTTACATTAGCAACTAGCAGTTCATATCTTGGTTAACTATGGGTTTAAAATAACTTATATCAAGTAATTGCGTTATTAGTATTATGACATAAAGTACATTAAATTTATGTGGGACCAAAACGTTGTTCACTATTTTTTAATTTGAACTGTACCCACCAAGAACCATCTAGTGGCTTAATAGATCTATTTGATAATGGACATGACTTACGGCCGAATATCGAAACGACATATAATTTAACAGCAATTTAAATTAAAGGCATTAACTTCAATACCACAAAAAAATCAAATCTGTATTTTTTAAAGGATTCTTATATCCAAAGTAATGTTAACTCAGATTTTTTGGAAAAACCATCGATTTTCTCATCGTTTGTAAACGAAAATACGGTCTATGTCACAAATCCTCACGTACTCGAAGGCAGTGTATGCCCATCGTTATGAATTAGTTACGTTCTAAGGACGGATTTAACTAAACTTGTTTGATACTGTTACAAAGTTATTTTTTTACATACGTACATGTCAAAAGCATTTTGTTATATTGACATTGTAATTAAGTGTATTTAAATTTAGAGCTCTGTTATCATCAAAATTATCGGTTTTCGTAGAAAAAAAAAAATCGCGTCCTATGTAAGTTCAAAAATTTGCTTAGTTAAAATTAGCCGTAATTCATATATTCGTTTTATTGTGTTTTGCTATGAAAATAAATTGGTTTGTACTTAAAAAGACGAAGTTGTTAACCATTTCAAAAATAGATGCTATATTTTCAATGAACCAGAGACTCTAAATTTAAAGTAATAAATTCCTGTAGTAGAAGCGAACAATAAATGCAAAATCATCAATGTATTGTCATATGATAGTTATATTATAGACCGACTATGTTATCTGACCCGATGTGTAAGAAACTAAAATATGACAGCACACTAGCGCCCTCTTGTCAATGTCAAAGTGTCACAAGATCCTTTTTGTACTACAGCTGTCATTGTTATGTCAAGTATTTTCTATTTTATGCAATTTTCTATGCAGATGTACGTTTTAAGTATTTTAGCTTAACAGCTCCTTTTATTGGGCCAGATATCTTCGTTTGACTATACTGTGGATTTCAACTGCAGTGACATTTGTATTGACATATGTCTATTTTGTCAAAGAGTATGTGTGGAATGACAATACATTGACACAATCTCTATTTTTTCAAAGAGTATATGGAATTACAAAATGTGGTAATACATGTGTAACTGAAATCGAAACCCACAATTATGCACAACCGTGATCGAAACATGCGAACTAGTGGTACGATTACAATATACAGACTTATTTCTAAAATACACAAATGTATAATATAAATAATTACTAAGAAAATAACTGATATAAATACAAGGTTAAATTTGTTTGGAGTTGCCATTGTTTGATTTAATTTACATGAAACTAGAATATAATTTAGACGAAATGTAAACATATTAATGGACTATGAAGGTCTCATAATACAATTATTAAAATTTTAAAACGACTTCTTTAAATACATTTAAGGAGCGTTAGACATAATTTTAATTCAAACAAATAGTCAATCCTTGCGTCATCTACATTTTAGTTTCATTACATGTTAGTGGACAAGTATACATGACGTGAAAAAAGTAAATTTTTATCTTAAATTTATCACATTAATTAACCATACAAGTAAGTCATTACGCCTACAATGTTAGAATAGATGGTGTTCAAGTTAGTACTTATATTCAAAATTCCACGAATTATACAAAGTATAAAAAAAATACATTAGATAAAAATTCGTATTCGCACACGTAAAAACAACTAGATATAACCGTGAATATATTACAAGGTACAAAATTATTAAATACAGTAATACTCTAGCTGTATAACATAAGAACAAAAGAGTCTAGCTTGCTACAAATACATATAATTTTAACTGTAAAGACGAACTATTCAGTTTAAATAGTGCAGCTGATGTAGACAATAAATATTTGTTAAACATGTAACATTTTAACTGAACAGTTCGACAATTCAGATAAAATTGTCAGATAGACCTGAACTCTGTATTGTAATAAGGGACTAAAAAAAAATTAGGGTTCCTTATTCAGTGTCTACACAAAGAGCACTCAAAGGAATTGAAAATGTTTTTGCCCCCCTTATATTATTTTATATACTTAGCGAAGAACTGACAACAGATATGAATAAAAAGGCATTAATACAGTAACCTCAACTGAAGTAATATATTAAGATATCAGATGGCTATAAATAAATTTATAGATATTTATACCAGCAAGCCATAACACAGTGACAATTTAGACTGGAGATTCTCCTAGCATTAGTAGTAGTACTATTAGTAGTAGTTGTTTCATATAAATTTTATATTCTTAGGGGTGGGAGGTGCTTTACACATTGAGTTTCAAAGAATCGTTTCTCTAATTGACCCAATTCTTCTCATGTACTATTATTTATTTTTCACTAAAGGTTCTTTATAAAACAACTTACAACCATCTGATATTAATTTTACTTACATATTTGTTAAACACCGGCTGTACTCATCAATATCACCACATAACAGTTAACACTAATGTATTCATCTAGGCACAATGATAATTACAATAGTACATTATATAAGTTCATTTGAATATATGGACAAATCGGGATGCTATAATATTAACATAATTACAAAACACTTATATTCACAATGTATTCTGTTAAGTAACAATACCTTAAACTACCTTATAATACTAATCACAAATCCGTTGTCGTTTACAGCCTGTAATTTGTTAGCGTACAATACTTGGACAAGAAATATTAACTTTTTTTATATTATAAGGTGGCAAATGAGCAAACGGCCGCTTGAATTTACTGAAATAACGAAGCAACCGCTGCCCAGACATTTGCATTTGCAGATACATGCTACCTTTATTCTACAAAGGATGCCCAGAAAGAAGATATTTTTTTATGCATCCCCTCCTCTATCAAATCCATTTCTTCACAGGCTTTTCTTACAAGAAAAGTGCGGGAACAAAAAGGGACTAATTTTTTAACAGATTACTTGATTTTTCGGATTACAGAATAGAAAAGCTACTGGAACCAACACAATTGAATATATCAGAATAGTGTCTTGAATACTTTTTGTTTATATAACTATTTCTAGTTAAATTTTTAGTGGAAATCTATACAATTTGTGAAAAAAACGTGGTTGGTATGTGTGAAAGTTCATTTGCAACTATTAAAATCATTTTTTTTTTCCAAGTGATTGCTTGCAATATTATTAATAATAATTGAGAAAAAAGTTGTAGAATAACATCAAAATGTGTCGTAAATTCAATTGTGTTAACATCGCCTTTTCATATTATACAAGTAACAAATAAATCTTATATAAGCAAGTTGTATAGATAATAGTCTTAATTGTGAAGATGTTAACTTACATTTTATTTTAATACATTATCATATTAAATTTCACATTAAAAACGTTTTTCAAAGAACATTGGACAGTGCAAAAATTTAGAAAGTTTTCGTTGTAAGATTTTATTTGATTCAATTATATTCGAATGCATCAAATTACCACATTTTATTCTACATTTATGCATAAAAACATTTAATAATTGATTTTAAATACGTGACAGAGAAAATTAAACGTGAAAACGAGGCATTCAAACATTAATAATCAAATCTCTTTGCCCCATTAACAAAAGTTTTATATCTATAAAATAGACTAGAAAAATAGCTTTTTTTATCCTTCCAAAATCCGAATGGCAATTAGTCAAATAGAAATACAGACGAGGCACGAATAAATCCATTCCGTCAGTGCATATTATAAAAGGCTGGAACTAACGGGTGGGTTTACACCTATTCAATACAGTTGGCGCTCAACTGGACTGACAATCAACTGGTATGAACTAGCATCAGAGAGTCCATACAATCTATTACTGGAGATGCAACTGTCAAACTGTATTGCAAAGTGTGAACCGGGCATAAAGCTACGGGAGTTGGGTTTTTCACGTAATAGTGCAAGAGTTCCGACCTGTACAGTTGAGCCTGGTGTTGTGAGGGTGCTTCGGTGGCCGAGCTCGATGTCTGCTGGGGGCTGCGGATATCGCGTACGACTTCAGATGAGACTTCAACGTGGTGGGCAGTGGTAGTCGCTCCAGACCGTACACGGACGTGCGCGCCACTATCGCACGACAACACAGCTCTTGAAGACTGAGAACTGAAAATGAAACATCAATCTATACTAATGTTATAAAAAGGAAAAAAAAAAATTTCTATGTATTGCAACAACTCAAAAACTACTGGCCCGATTTTAGAAAATCTTTCTCTGTTTGAAAGGTAATTTATCTGTGAGTAACATCTATGTAATTTATCTGTGAGTAACGTATACGTAGATATACAGATAACATAGTAATACAGGGTGTTATTATTATTTTTTTAAATATCACGAGGTCGAAGTCGCGAACAAGAACTAGTGCAAAATAAGATAGCAAATGTTATGGGCGCCAGTATTTACATATATAAGGTCCAATACTGTGGACTCACTAATTGTATGTGTACAACATATATGTTGTGATTGTACTTTAAAAAAATAAACATCATTCACAAGTCTAAACTAATATAATAAAAAGGCAAGATGTGTATTTTTGTATGTATTGAAATAACTCAAAAACAACTGGACCGATTTTAAAAATTCTTTTACTATTAAAAAGCTATGTTATCAGGGAGTAACTTAGTAATATTTTTTAATTTCAAGACGGTTTAGTCGCGACCAACAGCTAGTCTGTATTAAACAGAATAGAAGTAATTAAAATCAAATCATACATCGGAATTTAAATGATACATGACGTGTTTTATAATATATAATACGCTTCAGTAAATTCCAAGAAAAATACGTCGACGACTACGTAATAAAAAGTATCTTGATTGCAAGAAACAATAGATAAAGTCCATTCCAAAAAACAATTATTAAAAATGAAAACTATAGTTTAGTCACTTAATAAGGATGTTCATCATATTATATTATGACCTAAGTGATATACACAGATAAATGATTAGCTTTTGCCCATAACTCAGCCTGCACTGAATTAAAAAAAAAAAACTATTAATAGCCTATGTATACACCTATATCCACACTCTATTTCACATCTGTGCCAAATTTAAAATCCATTAAGATTTTCTAGATACCTCATAACAAACATCCATCCATCTAATCTATGCATATATTAGTAAGATGTTTACCTTTATTGCTTCTCCAGAGTCTCTCCATGCCATTCCTGTGCAATGCCATTCGGGATAATTCACAGAAGCTCTCTCGAATGTTAAAGTCGCAGAGTGGACTGACTTCGAAAAATGCCATATGATTCTTGGCAGCATACTGTTCCGCATCACGTTCTTGTACTTGACGTTTGAATGCGAGATGCAAGCGGTTGCCGACTAACACTTTAGGTACACCTGGTGCATGCTAGAATGATATAAAGTAATAAATAAAATATCTCAATACCGTAATAATATTGTAACACCTATAATTGTAACTAGAGAGTAACCACCTTTTATTGTTCAGATAAAAACATTATAGTATACCTGTCAAAAATGCTAGTGCCCCAGATATTACTTAAAAACAGGTTTACAAAGATTCTTGGAAATAAGCTATAAATCAATTGTTTTTTAAATTTTCAACTAAGCATAAACTAAAATAGCCTTTAATTTAAAACCTTACACACTTATTCAATGTGTTTCTTACAGATTGAAATGACTACCATATTACTACTATAGTTACTTAACTCTAGGATTTGATTTTCAACTAAGCATACATATTTAATATACTATAGCATAGTTTACATAAAAAAAATTAGCTGAAGCATATTTGCTTTTATTCCCCTCACATAAATTATGATAATACATAAATATGTACTAAACAAATTTTTGCTTACCTTTTCAACTTCTTCTAGCCACCTGTCTATGCTATCGAAAGACCATTTGTTTGTTATATCATAGACCAGTAGTATACCTTGAGCACCACGAGAGTATGAGCGAATTATTGTACAGAACCGACCCTGGCCTGAGGTGTCCCACAGCTGCAGTTTCACTCTTTTACCATCCAATAGGATTGTTGTAGTTTTATAAGCTGTAAATTAAAATTAATACTTTACAAACATTTCTAGCTTTCACATTATTTTATCCTTGAGTGTTTTAAAAACCTTAACACTTAGACACTACATACACAGATATACAAGCATACACAGAAACTATAAGCTGTCAACATTAAGAGAGCATGGTCATTATGGTAACGGTAATTTTGACATTTGCAATTGAGAATTTCATAATCACAATTATATTTTCATGCAAATGAAACCACACAAGAACTGCTATTCAAGAATAAATGAAGAGTAAATGCAACATCACACACCTTGGCTCACATTAAAATTTAAGTTAATAACATCATTGGTTTCTTAGAACACTTATTGATATAATAGTTTAAGCTGTAGATTATAACTAAAGAACAATTACCACTTCCACTGCAGAATGGTGAATCTGCAGATCCATCCTCAAGGTCTTGGAGAATTTCTTGTTTCCCCACATCAGAGTCCCCTACAAGAAGCACCTTCAGGAGATAGTCATATGATTTAGGAGCTGCCGGTGGCCTGCCTAAAATCAAAATTTCCAATTATATATCATTTATATTGAAGTTATTCGCAAGCAAAGCATGTACAATTATACCCATTAAAATAATATTATTAAGAACTAACGAATCATGATTGTTTTTATTTTATGTATTACTAAAGATTAAAAACGTTACTAGATAAATTAAAACTGATTCGCTCCAGTAATTTACGAGTGCTTGTAAACTGGAACATGATAAAGTTGTAAAAAGAAACAATACCTGTTCTTTGATGATGAGATCGAGGTAATGTGGTGCTGCCATTTTGTGCGACCTGGTTAGTCGCTTGCTGTGGTGCTGCTACCATTCCTGTCGTCGTAAACATAGTTCCAAATAATCTCTCCTGATCTCCAGGTGGTCTTTACCACACGCAATCGTATACATAATACCGTCCAAAATTAATCGATTGCGTTTCCCATGTAAAAAACACGATTCATATCATGCAATTATTATCCGTTTCCAAGTTCTGTTTACGGGTTTATAACTAATACTTTTAAACACAACACTTTCAGTCTGTACACAAAATATACATACACAGTTCACAAGGTCGACACTTATTATTGCACTGTTCTACTTGTTTGTTCTAATTCCACAGGAAGAATTAATTGACATGAAATGTAAACTACATCACCAATAAAATTAGTTTACATTTATGCGACACAAAAACAATTCACATCACAAAAATAGGCAAAATCTGGTGAACGACGAAAGACATTGAACAAAGATAATATAAACAAGAAGTCATTTTATTGCGACTTTTTTATAATCTATGGTAACAGATGGCATGGTTTAAATGACGTCTCAATTTTTTTTGTTTTTAACAAACAAAAATTAATCCTGAAAATATCCCCCCTGATATTTAAATAATCGAAAATATAGTAGGTTTTGATTTCATGAATTACATAGAAAATCCTCTTAAATCAGGGTACATAACCTGAGCCCTGAGATGTGTATAGTACAAGTTCACTTTTATCAATTTAAACATGTGCTTTTACAAAACTACCCTTTTGTGCACAGCTTTATGCTCCCTATTTAGTTAATTTTTCTAATATTGAAGAAGCTAGCTGATTCTATAATGAGTTTCTGGTCTCTTATCACTTGTCTTGCCTTTGCAAGCTCGTTCAGTAATATAAGAGTAAGAAAAATAATACTATAATTTGAGAAAAATATTTATTCTTATAATTTATTAGTATAAAGGCACAATAAAATATTTGTCTTTCAGTTACATTTTTTTTGTAAAAGTTAGTTGTTTATAGCTATACCAAAAAAGTACTACTTATGCTTAACTCTAACAATATCTTATATGTATATATTCGAATGATTTAGGAACAATTAAAAGTATCTTGTAGATTATCTTTCTTATTAATATGTTTCATAGCCAGGCAATTGGAATGTCGCGCTGTACTTTTCCACCTCACCCCTGAGGTCAGCTACCTTTTTGTTAATATCAGCATTTTCATCTATAGTTTTGTTGAAATCTACTATTTTTGGGCCTGATATTTTCGTAATCTCTTGTCCAAGTTTAAGAGCCTTGTCGATAAAATCGACTACTCTATCGATGTCGGCTTCCTTTAAACCACGTGTGGTTAACGCTGGAGTGCCTGTGGAATATTTACACGTTAATTTGTATACATTCTTCATTAAAGTATTGTAACTTTTGATACACAGATAGCCATTTTTTTACTTTTTGAAGTAAACCTAAGTTTGAAAATCGAAATATGTATGTTTATCATGTGTATGTATAACATCAGCGCTTTTTTTTTTATAATAGCTGTCATCCCAACATTATCCACATAAAAAAATTGTCAAGTTTAGAAAGTGTACTATTCTAGACTGTATTCAATTTCTGGTCCAAATTTGATGCAGATCAATTTAACTAAGGCATAACCAACAAGAAATAGTACTTTGCACAAGTTTTCTTCATTCTCACAATAACACAATACCTAATTATGAACTGTTTTAATTTCAATATTAAAAATGTGCATTATAGTTTACCAAGTCGTATTCCACTTGGGTTGAGAGCACTCTTGTCTCCGGGCACGGTGTTCTTGTTGCAGGCGATGCTGCAGAGCTCGAGGATGCGCTCAGCGCGCGCGCCGCTCAGCCCCGCGCGCCGCATGTCCACCAGCACCAGGTGCACGTCTGTGCCTCCGGTGGCGATGTCATAACCTCGTGACATCAGACCTTCGCATAAACGCTTTGCATTCTCCACTACCTGTATACGTAAAATATAGCATTTAATGAAAAATCTACATCATAATCATTTTAATTGCGTAGTATTGTAGATCAATGCAATGATGTTTATAATATTTTCACAAACAAACAAAAACACGCCAATTTTTTCATCAAATATATTAATAAAAATAAATAAATGATTAATGTTTTCTTAGTGATTGTTAGAGGAATTTACTATTTTTAAGGGTAGTTAGTAATCAGAATGTGTTCTAGAGACTACTAAAAACGATTACTTCGAGCTGACACTAAGCGGTCTTAACTGTCCAGGTAAAACTTATAAAAATAAACTTAGCTTATGTAGTAGTTATAAATTTTTGTTATGACCACTACACAAGCTAAGTTGTTCAATAACTCACTTGTTTCTGATATTCAATGAACTCGGGAGAGATAGTTTGCTTCATAGTTGTAGCGATAGCTGCAATAGCGTGGTTGTGAGGACCTCCTTGCAGACCAGGGAATACAGCCTGGTTTATCTTGCTCTCGAAATCAAACATGACTTTAGTGCCGTTCGCATTCACCGAGCGAACACCTTTGCGGAAGAATATCACACCCGCTCTCGGACCTCGCAACGTTTTGTGCGTTGTTGTTGTAACTATGTCACAATACTCGAAGGGACTTGGGATGACACCTGGAAATATTACATACACATAAAGAAAAAAAACAAAACGAAACATTCTTTACTTGAAAAACTAGCGTTTTTACCTGCGGCAACAAGACCAGAGACATGTGCCATATCAGCCATCAAGTAAGCACCATTCTCATCAGCAATTTGCCTGAACCGTTTGTAATCCAAACAGCGCGAGTAGCAACTGATACCAGCTATTATAAGGCGAGGCTTAAATAACTTAGCTGTTTCCGCCAACTTGTCATAATCGATTAAGCCAGTTTTAGGATCCACCTGTAAGAAAAATTAAAAGTTATGAAACGGTTAAGAATTAAGAATTATTTTTTATTACTAATTATGTGAGAAATGTTTAATAACGCAAGCAGATAAAATAATCAACCTTGAGATATTGTTTTTGTTACATCAAATAGTTTATTAAATAAAGATATCCGATAATAACCTTGTAAGGCATGCTTTCAAAGAAGATAGAAGTGGCAGAGATTTTCTTTGTAGCGGTGAAGAATCCATGAGTAAGATGACCACCATCAGGAAGATCTAACCCCATAATCCTGCCATGAGGTTCCACAACACCGGTGTAAACAGCAAAGTTAGCAGGAGAACCTGAAATAGATATTTATAGTACTAAACCTTTGACAAAATTCTTACGGGCAGCGGTCATTTTGCTATCTTGACAAAGATAGTGTTTTGCTGGTTTGGCATTCTAATAATAGGAAGAAGCGACTTTTTATTCTTTTATGCTTAGTAAACTATAAGTAGGTGTTAAAGAAAACCATTGATAGAACTGTAATATTCCACCAACAATACATGTGTTTCAAATGTATAAATTAATATGTATTGAAAGTGATTAAAAGTATGTTTTCTTAATGTATTACCTGAATACGGCTGAACATTGACACCCCACTGCTCATCGCTCAGTCTGAATGCTTCAAGAGAACGTTTTTGTGCTAATATTTCAATTTCATCTATGTATTCATTACCTCCATAGTATCTGTATGCATATTAAAAAAATTAAATTGATTTCAATAGTGTTTTATGTCTCAATTGAATGAATGTTATATATAAAATAGTTAAATTTTTTAGCCTCAAAATTTTTTTTATAACATAAGGTGGCAAACGAGCAAGCGGCCAACTGAAAATGCCAAAATGGCGAAGCGACCGCTGCCCATAGACATCCGCAATTGCAGATGCGTTGCCTACCCTTATCCGACGGAGGAGGAGACGCACATAA